TTATGATTCGACTTCTACGGAAATTGATTTCATTAAAATCGTGACGAAAGGTGAGCATTTTCATTTAAAATAATTTAATAAAAAATAACTTTCGAAAATGTTATATTTTTTTTATCGTGCAGATCTAAATCATAATTGTGAATTGGTTAAGGTCATCAATCCATCTAAAAGCTTTCTCACAGATTTTGAAGACTGTAAAACGAAAGATCATAACAATCATTTATTATCTCTTGTAAAAGATATTCTTCAACGTGATCTATCCATAAAATCATTAGTATCACCTGATCTTTTGGGCAACGCACTGGTGTTCTATGAAACAAGGGTTATGATAAATTTGGAGAGTGCTGTCGAGTTATATATCAAAACAAAGTTTTAAAATGACACTGTATGAAAACAGAAAAGTTCTATAAGAATAACGGCAAGTAATTCATACAGCTTGCTTACTTGTACTAGGAAGAAATCAGCTGATTGGGTCAGCAAACTAAGTAAATACATAAATACTAGTTTTCAAGGCAATGATTATACTAGACATGGTGTATAAATGGAAAAAAAGCCCTCAAGTGTTATGAAAATATGTTAGATGTGCAAACCATACGTATAGGTCTGGGGGTAAATCCAACGCTTCCTTGGCTGGGCTACAGTCCAGATTTAATTGTACAGGATCTCTGGATTGTTGAGATAAAATATCTCAAAATTAGTAAAAGTAAGACAGTGAGTGAAGCAGTTATGAAATCATCTTACCTGTACACCGATTTTTCAGGGGACACGAGATTAAAACAAAAATACCAATTCTTCTGCCAGGTGCAGATCGGGATGTATCTTACTAATTTGGCATTCTGCCACTTAGCAGTCTACAGCTCGTTCGATGATACTTGTTTCATTGTTAAGATCTGCTACGATAAAGAAGTAGTCATTTAAGAGCACTTACCTGCATTGAATACTTTTTTTTTTAAATTTTTTACACATGTTCTTGTTCAAAATGAATCCAGAGAAAATATCAATGACGTTTCTGTAGTAGCTGTTTCTTCGAAGAAAGATACAAGTGTCAACAGTAAAGTACAAAAATAGTGTTAAAGTCGAGAATTGTTAAAGAAAAATTGATCACATTGAAAGATTAATTGTGATAGTCTAATTAAGAAAAGTTAAGTCATTGTATGAATTCAAGTAATACGAAGTTTAATACATGTTAACTGGTGATAACAATGAAACCTTCAACTATATTGAATATTACAGTGTACATGTTCTATTTACGTAAAAAATTAATACGATAAAAAATTATTTATAAAATGTTAAATGTAACTTTTCAAAAAAAATAATCACACTGAGTCACATGCGAGCGATAAAATCAGCTCTTAGTTTTTGATGATTTTAATATTGATTGTTCGAGATTAGAAATTTCATAAATCACTTGTAAAATTTCATGCATGTATGGCAAAATTTTTAATGGAATTTTATTTTTTAATATATTAAAAAGTTTCATTCTTTGGATGACGTTTAACGTGTACTCGTGTTCAGGCAATTGCTATGGTATTTTGTGCTTCACCAGTGTTAAGCTGTTTTTTTTTTTTTAATTTAGGTGATATGTGTAGGTCGATATAAGCAAACGCAGACTCTTCTTCGATGGAAAATTCTTTATCTACTATTATGCCGTCCCTAGTAGGCTCCCATTTTCGCGAAATCTCTGACTGGTTAAATATTTCCTTGTCAGAAGCACGCCCACCATAGGGCTTGCTTATGTACATGATAAGACCCGAAGGAGAAATTCCTACCAACACTTTTATGGTCTCTCATCCTTTGTAATGAGAGTACGTGCGAAGTCTACATCGTAAACACTTTGGCTCCTCGACTGGAATTTCAGTGCAGTTTAAAATTGTGTATGTCTCTTTGAAATTATTAAAGCATTTTGGCATACTCTGTATTATCTCAGTTTTTGATGGCCAATATATTGCATGATAAAGAATGTGTGCCAATGAATGTAGTAAGAAAATTACGGCTGCAGACTTGTCTTGATACAAAAAATAGAATGGATAAGCACTTGAACGTCAAATTTAATTTTAATTTGCTGAAACACAATACAATTCTTGACTGAATTGAAAACCAAAATTGTTTATTTTTTTTCTCACATTGCATGACAGCCTCACTCAAATTGTTCAACCACTTGAAAGTTATTTCTGCGAAACTGTTCAATTGATCATCTGTTTTAAAAAGATGCATAATTGATAAATCATCAGCACCTATGCATTTATCTATTTCCTCAGCTTTTGAAGAACTTACAGCACTTTGTACTGATGAAGGCTGACAATACTTTCTCAAGTCAAGCAGTATTTCTGCTGCTTGCTGATCACTTAACAGGTCACTGTTTTCTTCGATTTCAGTTGATTCTTCAACACCATCATTCTTACAATCAACATTGTCACAACGAAAAAGCGTGTACTCATTGAAAATAGCATCATTTACTTCACTCAACTCTTCATTATTCACTAATGCCTCATCTTCAGCTGACTCATATACACTAATCGATGCTTGTTTTTGCATGTTTTTTTTCTACTCTATTTTTCCTTTGAAAAATAGTATTTTTTTGTTCACTGGTAAGTATTTTATCCGAAGGTCTTACAGGTAAATTAACTGTTGATATAACACTAACTTCAAGCACTCGTCGTTTAGGGTTTCTACCTAAAATTAATACATATTTTCATGAAAAATCATGAATGAATTTTTTAAAATTTGCTAGCTTCTTATTAAAATTTTTACTGACTTCAAATAAAATCACTTTCTTTAAAATGAGCATTACAGATCAAACTGTTATTGGAAATATAACCCAACTTGCATGCATGAATCCATATTTTTCTCGTTATTTGGCACTTTGGAAATAAATGAAGGGAGCTGTTGATTTTCTGTTCACACTAAGGAATACTGCAACGGCTTTTACTCTTGCAAGAAAGTATTTTTTTCTTTGCAACATTCATTTTTATCACTTTGATAACGTTAACTTGTCAATTTCACCTGGTTACCTCAGGATCGAGCTTATATACTATGCGGTGCTTGGCAACACGTAACAAGGTGAATACAATAATTCAACAACCTAGTAGGGGCCGCTGCTGAACTTGGCAAGAAAAGAAGAAAAACAACAAAAATCACTACTGGGGCACAACAAGGTGCAGCAGCAAACAAAAAACGCTGTATATACTACGATGGCTGAACCAGACTTTTAGTCGAGGAATCCCCAAAACTAAAAGCAGTGATAAATGACAAAAAAGCTTCAAGAGAGAATGGAAGAGAACTTAAGAAAATGGTAACTATTGTCAGAGACCAGGACACTATGTGAGAGTCTGTCACTTACGCAAGCAAGACAAGGAGACAGAGGAGAGACAGCAGAGCGAAGAGTATAACCTAACCGTGAATAATACCCCTAACAACAGAAGCATCTATAATAATAGGGGCCGTAATGATAGTCTTAATAACAATAATTGCAATAGTTATTTTAGGAGATAAAACAATGGCCCAACGGAGCCGTATAACAGAAATAATAATTACAATGACAGGTATAACAACTACAAACCTGAAGGTTATAACGATTACGGCAACTGCGGCAACGGTGACTAATACATAGTAACAGCTAGGATACATTAAAGCGTTATAAAATCGGCTGTTAAAATCTAGATAGCAGGGAAGGCTTTAATAGAGACTTAGTTAAAAAGAGACTGCCACATGATAGGGGCTAACAGGAGCGAAAAAACAGTGTATACGCCCCTGACAGCAGAAGAGACCCACCCGTAACTTTAAATTTGCAAGATTTTCGGCATGGTTCTCAAACGTTAAACACGAACTAGAGAAGAAGACTGAGGAAAGTGTGTCCAAGCCAGAGCAAAAAGTAGTAAGGGCGAGAATGCACACCACTTGCCTGAGTTCTTACGCAGTACTAGGAAAAAAAAAACGTAATATAGTTGTACAAAGACACAGTTTCTCAAAATGACTATATAGATGTGGATAATAGGGCATATTCTACCATCGCTTCAGCTACGGGGACCACAGTTAAAAAATGGAAAGGAAACTTTTTATACGGATACAGGTGCAGAAATTTTGATTATAAGAGAAAACTTTCTCAGCACAGACATGCTAATAGACAGTTGGTGTTGAGTAGCTGTTTTCCACGTGACTCGCAAAGCATGCAAAACATTGGGTACAGTATAGGTCAACTACATGGACAGGAGTGCACACTACATGACGTCCCCCTGAACTCCCCCATTGACGTGGAAACAATCATAGGGTCAATACCTTAAATTAATACCAGGGCCAAATAAACACTGCTGACGGTATGATTAGTTTAGATAACGTACAGATACTACTGTTAAAGCCAGAGTGTTTCAAAATACCTGAAAAATCGATTCAAACAACTTGTGAAGAAAAAAAAGCAGAAATCAATTAAAAAATGGATGAATACCTCTCCGAAAAATAAAGAAATCAATAATGTTCAGAAATTTTATAGCCAGAAATATTAACGGAGAAATTATAACAGAATGTATTTATATCAGTAGCGAGATAAAATACGAGCCTGTTCTGGAAGTGGAGCTGCTAGAATACGAAGAAATTTATCGAAAGCACTCATAAAATGGTGAGGCGATAATGTTGAAAGCTTGGGGGAAGCAGTGATGAGGTTATTTTATGAAGGAACAAGTTATGGTAAAAGAAAAAAAACGAAAAATTTTACAAAAGATAAAGAGGAGCTAGAGGAATAAGAATGAGTGAGCAAGATAATGCAACTCATTGACATGCTGGTTGCAATTATGCAGAAAAAGAACATGAGAGAAGACTGATCAAGTCAAACCCTTACGTATTTGGCCTTATTAAAGCGAATAATAAGGACGTCAGGTAAATCCATCGTAGCATAAACATACAGATATCCACCAGCGATGAAGAATCAAATGAAGATCAAAATAATCGTAATGCTTAAATAAGGAATAATTAAACCCTTTACCTCCCCAGATAACTCAAACACCTAGATGGTGGCAAAACAACCTGGGCCAAACAATGAAACAAAAGTGAGAGTTCTCACAAATTTTCGACTACTCAACAAAGCTACTGTAGGTTTTTGTTATCCAATACTGTTTCAGAGTAACATCTTAGGGAGCCTAGCCTTAGCACGTTACATCATGGTAGTGGACCTCCAATCAGAATTTTTTCGAGAGGAAATACACAATAATGATGTACATAAGATAGTATTTTTGGGCAGAGACAGGCATTACCAATACAAAAGGATGCCAATGGGGTACAAGGACTCGCCAAACATATTTCTTAGGGCTATCGCACCAGCACCCACAGGATTACAAGGCCATGAAATAAAAGTGTACCTCGGCAACATAATGGTCTTTTCTCCTTACCTTGATAAACATGAGAGACGGTTCTTGAAACTGTTAAAAGTGCTGGCAGCTGCAAATCTTGCGATTTAACCCCAAAAATGTTAATTTTTGAAAAAAGAAGTGAAAGTGCGTGGCCACATTGTAGGTAATGGGCAGATAATGACTGACCCAAAGAAACTTGAAGCGGCCAGTAATCACCCTGAACCAAAAAACGTGAAGAAAAAAGGAAAACAGTTTTTAGAATTTGTAGGCTACTACAGCCAATTTATCAAAAATTATGCACAAATTGCCCAACCACTATCGAGATTCTTAAAAGCGGGCACGGCATTTAAATGAGGCGATCAAGAAAAACTGGCGTTTAAGTTCTTGTAGATACACTGTGCAGTAGACCTGTACTCATCAATTAAGATTTGAAAAAACCCTTTATCGTCAAGACGGACACATCAGATAACGCAATTGGAGTGATCATTAGTCAGGGAGAGATCGAAAAAGATAGACCATGCGAGTACCCGTCTTGTTGCCTTAAAGAGGGCGAGCTCCACTTCCCAACATACGACAACGAATTATTGGTGATTGTATTTGCAAAAGAGCAATTTAGACCATTCCTGTACGCATGCAAGTTTACGGTGGTTACAGACCACGAGCCGCTTAAGCACTTTCTACATCTAAGAAGCCAGACATTCGTTTTAACAGGCTCAAAGCAAAACTGAGCAGGTATAAGTTCAAAGTTTTTTACTGCCTGGGTGTAAGCAACAGACCACCCGACGCATTATCACGAAATTCAAAGTACAAGAACGGAAAGTGAATCCTAAACAGCCACGCCAAGAGCAATATAATCTATCAGACAAACAAAAGAATGAATGGTTGGCCAACACCAATGGACCACCAGTGCATATATTTAAAATACGGGTAACTCTTAAGAAGAGAACTCAAAGTAATCCAAAGAAAACAAAAATCCGTTGTTCCAACTCAGAGAACTTAAACGTCGTAATACAGAAAAAAACGATATTGTGGTGAGAATATTGAAAAAGTTTCAGATATGAGTATACAAGTTTAAGAAAACGCGATGCGGATTCTGAATCAGAGTAGCCCAACAGCAGGCACTAAGGGATCAAAATGAGTTAAAAACGTGAGCTGTTGCAGAGAAAGAAGGACTTATTTCACAGGGGCCATTAGACGAAAAATCATTCTAAATTATGAAGGAACCAGGCTTTTAAAAGCGAATAACAGCTACAAGCATGCCAGTAGTATTGAAACGAAAAAAAAATTACAAAAAACACGTAACCAACAACTTGACACTTTGCATAGATAGAAACCGTGTTTTTTGGCAACGCAACTGACAATGGATCCATGGAAAGAAAGAATAATAGATAACTGTGATACACCATTGCCTAGTGCCATAAGTAAAAATCAAATATTAAGTATAGCAGAACAGATACCAGATATTGAAAAAATAGGAGGAAACAGGAAATAAGCTATAAAATTTTTAATAAATAAACAAGTAGAGCCAAATATACATGACCTATTAGAGGGAATGCCTAATAACTTACGGGTTTGAGTAATGATTGACATCAGAAGGCAAGATATAGAAGGCAGACTGGGAATTGAGATAGATATGTAGGAGCCTAGCGAGATAATAACAATGAAAAAAGCAGCGGTACAAGCTAGAGAATAAGTAAGCAAACACGCACATAGAACATCGTACGAAACGAGCACAATGAGCAGTTGGAGAAACTTGCACACCCAGATAAGTGGCTAGGGTATCCAAAAGACAAAACACGAATGGAGACTTCTGAATGAACCCAATCTAGTGGGATTTTAAATAAAATATCGGAAATATCATGCGACTCACTCAGAAACTGTTAAGTCCACAGCCTTGTACGGTTATATTAACTTGATGTCTCAACTACTGTGTTACAGGCAATTCTGCACAACTCTTATTTATTACAAAAATGCAGATAGCCGGAAGAAACAAAAGAAATTTTGGAGTCCCAAATAATGTATGGGAACAGCCATTGTACTTATCAATCCTCTCAAGAATTTAGAAAAAACTCTTGTGTACATTTTGTATTAACCAATAGAAATAAAATTACACTTATAGTATTGCAATGACAAAAGGTGAATTTGGCTACTTACATCTAGAAGGTGTAGGTAAAAATGTACATTATACGCCTCTTATACAAGTTTCCAGTGCGATAAATACAGAATATGAGTCAGGGGTAAAGACACCATGGAAACACCACAGCAGTAGTGAGAAAAGTGGAGAGCGTAAGCAAGACGAAAGAGTAGATAGAGACAAGCAAAGAAAGAAAGACGTAAGTCATTCAGAAAAGAAGCAAGACCAGTGAGCATACAGAAAAACAGGGAGAGAACAGATAAAAAACGAGCAGCAATGACAACAATCTTAAAAATACAGTAGAGGAAGGAATAAAGCAAGCCAATCAGTTAAATAACGTGCTATGTAAAGCAGAGAGTGACAATAAAGCCAACCTAGTTACACACTTACCATCAGTGGTAAAATATAGAGTGTGCAGAGCAAGTCTACCAACGAGATTTCCACGATTGATACCAACAGAGGGGTAAGACCCACCCGTACTACAAAGACTGCACAGAATCAAGGGCCACCTGTTTGAGTACTAAGACAACATAGCATTTACGACAATAACAGAAGCAGTACTCAAGACAGAGGTCATAGATGTTCTGTACAAGAGAAGATACATTATCCTGACACGTATGAACAGCAAAGAAAGAAATGTAAGAGAATTTAAGGCAATGGATGCGAGAGAGATAAAAATTATACACATGTATGTGAAGTAGCACTCTGAAAAAACGGCACTCAAATCAAACATTAAAAAGTGCATTAAGGCCTTTGAAGAGGTTGTAGTAGCGAATAAAATGAAAACGATTAGGATTATTAGAGATCTAGCAAGCCTTAATCTAACTCAGTGGGGATACTTTGTCGATACCTTTAACAAGATACTCAAAGATATTAGACTAGCAGTAGTACTCTACACGAACACTCTAGGAATCTCAGGAGTAGATCGAGGATCTAAAATCATAAGAGAATACCATGAAGCGGCAATCGGTAGACATAATGGAACAAACAAGACGTACAACAGGATTTTCAAAGATAACTACTGGAGGAACAGGCACCTAGATATAAGACAAGTTATACTAGGATGCGTATCATGCTAAACAAACAAACTCATCTCAATTAAAAATAAAAAAGCCATGCTCATCACTGACACACCGAGTAGACTGTTTGGAAAGATATCTATAGACTTCTACGGGTCAGTCAGCAGACCATTAGTGAATTAGTACATATACAGACTATCTATACCATACAAGCTAACGGAGTTTATCGTCCACACACTTGTAAAAAAAGCAACAGCCAAAGAAACAGTAAGAACGATAACAGATGAATTCATAGTGTAATTCGGGCTGCCAAAACATTTATAATTGGACCAAGGCACTCATTTCACGAGCAAAAGCATGGACAAACACGTGGAGTTTTTTAAAATAGAGAAAATGGGTAGTACACCATTCCATCCACGAACAAACAGCGCTACTGAGCGCATGTGTAAAACTCTCACAGAGTATGTCAAGGCCAACGTAAAATAAACTGATCACTGGGACAAACATTTATTTGACCGCAAACTGACTACAAGATATTTCTTGGATGGAAGAAAAGTTCGTGTGCTGGAAAAGCCACTGAAGAATAAAAATGACTCACAATATGAGGGCCCGTATAAAATAACAGGGATTGATTGCATCCACAAAAATGTCAAACTACAGAGAGGTGACGAAACAAAAGTATCGCACGTAGATAAAATCAAAAAAGCATGGATGATAAGGGCCCCAACAGAAACTGTAAGCTGGGTGAGGGACATGGAGGTACAGACTTTAACATTTGACTTTGCTCAAAATTTTTGCAGCTCCTAGACACAGTACGAGAGTATAACAGAACAGAGACTCACTAGGCTTACAATAAAATTTTTGCGGCCTCTGGAAATGCGCGAAAATACAAGTAAAAAATAGAAAAGAGAGATAAAGAGATATAGAGAAAGAGATGCAAAGATTAGGTCAGCAAATAAAACAGGCAATTACAAGAGCAATATTAGTGGAGAAACAGTAAACAAATAACATAAGGCATTAATATATCAAATTACTTAAGCCAAACGAAAGCAACGCGTATGGTGCTACCTTCTATAATTAATTTGTTAATCAGAAAAATGTAGAAACGGTGCTTAGGAGTAGCGTCAAATATACGTTAGAAACAAGGAAGCACGAATTCCCTTAGAGAGTTACCTATGTAGTAAATCATTTCACATACACGTAGAGAACAAAAAGAGAACCTTTTGAATCAATCGTTTTCTGAAAACCCACTGCACCTATTGAACGATCAAGTCGTGTATTGTGTCTAGGTGACACTCGAAACTGTTTACCAAAATCAATCCCCTGGCTTATTCTCCTACAAGCAAGTAGATAGAAGTATATGCGTAATGATATTTAGGCAGCAAAATGAAAGTGCCTCCTTGAACACCATTTTGTGGGTTGCTTGATATGCACGTACACGCTTTCTATCTTTATTTATTTTATTAATTGTAATATTTGAACTTGACACTAACTTCTCCAACTCTTTTACTGATTATATCGATGGCTCAAAAAAAAAAGACAAGATTAAGGAGATGACGGAAATGGACACCTCTTAAGGATTTCGACGGAAAGTAGTAAGACTCGCGTCCCTCAGATTAAAACTAGCAAGAATTATTGCACTCCGAGGAAAAATAGCAACACTCAAGACTTTTGACGAAAATAGATAAGATTTGCAAACCTCTTACGTAAACTAGCAACATTCGTGGCACTCCGAGAGAAAGTAGCAACACTTGTAGTGTTATGACGAAAAGCAGGAACAGAATGTATTCATCGATGAAAAATGGCAACATTCGTAGCGTTCCGACTAAGATTAACAATAGTCGTACGGCTCCGATGAATAGTAACGACAACTGCTACTTTTTGACGAAAAATAGTAACTATAGTTATAGCTCCGACATAGAATGGTAACAGTCGTTGTGCATGCGAAGCAACGC